GCGACTCCACTGGAGGAGTCATGCTCTAGCTGCCGTAGGCTGCTGTGCAATGAGCAGGGATTTATTTGAAGATGCATTCATGCAGAGCCCCAGTGTGGCTTGTAAGCCGGAGCTTACTACCATACCAAAAGGTACTCCGGGAGTGGAGTGGGAGCGATGCTTAAAGCACCGTGTGATAGCCAAGCTAGTTAAGCGTTGACCATCGTGATGAGCCAAGCTGGTTTAGCGTTGACCATCGTGATGAGCCAAGCTGGTTTAGCGTTGACCATGCTGAAAATGCCAGCGACTTATCACTTCACTAAGTTCAGCGAAGAGATATTTGAGAATTGCATAAAAAATGCATACCCAATTAAGAACGAGCGAAATACTTTTAAACACAAGTGCGTGTGTGTGTTCGCTGCACTTGGTTTATGCGGGAATGCAATATAAATGCGTGTGGGTGTTCGCTGTTCTTTGTTTATGCGGGAAATGCATAAGTCGCTTAAACAAAGGGATTGATTAAGGACCAGAAAAATATTTCGGAAAAGTGTAGGTTTAGCAATTTGGTATAGAGAGTATATGCTGACATTAGCTATTATACCTCACAGTGGTGCCGCTGTCGAAAGAAAATTTTCAGAAATGAATCTCATTAAAAATAAATGCAGGAATAGGCTTTATGTCGAAACAGTTGAAAGCTTAATGTTCGCAAGAACTCTTATTAACAAAATGCAAATAATGCTATTATAGAAAAAAATTTGATAAACAGAAAATTATACTATTTAATAAAAGAATTTTTATCTGCTACGAAAACTTCGTTTTTACTCCGATTTTTCGAGTCATTTACTCCGGAATCGAGTTTCGGTAGTCTGAACGCTGCACAGGTGGCAGGTACAGGTATACATATGTACATAAATTTGTGTCTACTGAAGTGCGTTCAAGCAGCGTGCAAGAAAGTTAGTTGAATTGAAGATGCCTTGAAAACTCTACAATGGCTGTGATTATGCTACAGTTCGGCGACTGCTGTACATACAAATGTGCACATGTAAACATTTTTAAGTGACTCAAAATGGCTTATTACTTTATTTTTAAAATATACCTACATACATACATACATATGTGTTGGGATGTATAACAATTTTTTGTTACCTAAAGTCAACAGCCAAGCAACGAACCAACTAAGTGTATAGTTGTTGGAAAAAGGTGTTCGAGAAAGAAAAAAATAGAAATCAGAAATAGTTAAATGAGGTGGCTACAAGGCTGTAAGGGGAGTGATGGGTCGGTGAGGCATAGTCATGGCACGGCAATGCCCGAACAACAACAATATAAGCTATAGCAACAATGCCAAAGCTCACTTCATTAACTTGGCGAATATTAAATATCAGCAAAGCACAACATCAACAACAGTAGCAACAATAGCTGTTGTGCGCCAGAAGAAAAAAAAAATACACACATACACATTATCTTGTTATGAATTTGCGAACCGAAAAGCAAGCGAAAAATAAATCATTAACAACAACAACAAAACCAAAATAGTGATAGCGAATTTTCGCTGAGAAAAAATACTCGTAAAAATGCAACGAAAATGTATCAACATCAGCAATGGCAGCTGTGGTAGCAGCAAAAAATTTCAGAAAAAAGCAATTGGAAGGTAGGCACGTACTCTGGCCGATTACATAAGTTCAAAAACTCGCAGAAACCGCGCCGAGTAGTCGTGGAACGCAGCCGCCGGTCAGTGGTAAAATGCCAGCAGCAGCAGCTTTCCCGCTCGCCAATACTGGCGAAGGGGAGCAAGTGAAATTCATTGCAACCGATTTTTTTTGTAATTATGAGTGATGGATGTCCATTATACATATGTACATATGTATGCACATATGTACGAGTATTAACGTAGCCCAGTTGGAAACATTAGAAGTAGATAATTCATTAAATTATTAATGTGGAGCTTACAGGCTAGATTAGGTTAATAATCTTATATAACCGAATAGGCCCAATCCGAAGGCTGTTAAAAGCGTGATTGACTCAGTTTTTCCACACCAGCTTACACCGTTTTTTTTTTTTGATATCTATAGGCGAGTTTTTTGAAATCTTGATTTTTCGAATTTCGAATAAATCAGATTTTTTATGAAACAAACCGGTTTTTTTCATTTCATACAAATCTTAACCTCTCAATTAAAGTTTCGAGTTACTTTGAAGTTTTCCAGCTTACACCGTTTTTTTGAATATCTATAGGCGGTTTTTTGAAATCTTGATTTTTGGAATTTCGAATAAATCGGATTTTTTTTTAATGAAACAAACCGTTTTTTTTTCATTTCATACAAATATTAACCTCTCAATTAAAGTTTCGAGTTACTTTGAAGTTTTCAAGGCTTTTTCAAGTTTAAATTAAACCCCTAAACAGGTTAAGGCTGCGTTCTTCCAAACTCATTTAGGTGGAAATTAACTTTAATTTAATTTTTTATTTAATTCTCATTTAAATTATTTTCAGATTCCATAAGCTCTTTATTTAAGTGAGTTAAAATATGGCGGCACCGTGCTAAAAGTGGTTGTAAAAGCAGGGCTGGCATACAAGTAAATAGCTGCTACACAAAATTGTGGTGTGTGTATATTGATCAGCTGACTGAACGTGTAACATCTTTGAGTGTGGTTATTCTGATTTAATTTTTAATTAAGTGAAGAGCATAGGTCACTTAAATCAAAAATCATAATAAAAGAGATACGTCCCAAAATTTTCAGATCAAAATTTCAGTAAGTTGCGTCTGTATAGACTTTTCAATTTTATAAATGACATTATTTATAAGTGGAAAAATAAAACTCAATAACAATTATTATCTTAGAGCAAAAAAATGAAAATCATAAAATAATCATTATACGTGATCGAAAAAAATAAAAATCAGACAATAATCATTTCCATTGAGCGAAAAAATACAAATCAATAATAATTGTTATTTTTGAGCGAAAAAATATAAATCATAAAATAATGATTAAATGCTGGTTTAAATTATTTTACTCATAATGATTACCGCCCCTGGTATTTTGTCTTCTGGTAAACTGCTAGGTCTGAGGCAGGATATTTACAATAAATCTTTGCTCTGTAGTATTGTGTATAAATCTCCTTAAAACTATTCTTGGATTTTATACAAATTTATATTAAATATTCATAGTATTATTATTTGTTTTATTAATAAAATATGACTAACAATCTGCTTATTTTTCTTTACAGGTGAGTCTTTTCATTATCTAACTACATAAAAAATGACCCTATGATTACATATTTCGAATCAAGGTAAGCAAAAGGTTGAAATACTTTTAAGTAGGTACTAGTTCCAAATGATTCCGGGAAAAGTCTTTATATGAAATAAATTATTATCGTTTGTTCGAGCATAGCCTATTCTCACACTTTTATACTCATATGAAAAATATGACCTATGGAAGCTAGAATATTGTCTCTAAACTGCCAAAAGAGAATAAAATGCCACAGTAAAAAAAGGAATAAAATTCCATATAGATCCCTTATTGATTGGTGAAAATTCTGTAAGAGTTTATAAATGAGAATTTGTATCTTTGCATAACTACTAAAAAGAAAAACTTCTTAATTTTAAGAGATGAATGTTTGAATTCATTTAAAATAACTCCTTTTTTTCCTCTAAATTCCATATGACAAGTAATCCTTATAACAGTGTCGGTATGGCGACCTCCGTAGTCGAATAGCCGTAAGTTGCCATTCAGTAATCCACCATTTGATGTCAGATTTTATTAATAACCCAGAAGATAATTTAGGTAGACCTTCCTAAGTGAAACCATTTTAAAATGCCTACCCAACAAGGGCTGAAAAAAGTGCTTCCGTGCATGCATTCTAGAAGAGCTTACTCATTTACAATTTACGCGAATGCATAAATTTATATTATTTAGCATAACAAATGAATTTCAATAAACATTTTAAGCTGCAATAACACATACTTGATATAAACCTTAAGCAAATACTTCAAAGATATATGATTTTTATAAATTAAAGAAGCAACTTTAAAAGAACTACTCCAAAAGGCCTATAAAAAGCCCTTCTTGAAGGCGTTCTATGGGTAGCAAAAGAAGTAGCCCTTCAATTTGTGCCACTACATACAAAAAAGAAAGGAGAAAGGAATGTAGAGTGGAAGGTCTCTTGACTCTCAGCAAGGCCTTGCGGAAGTGCTTTTAACTCCTGAAATTATTTACTAGATATGTAGAATTTCGAAGTACCACAAATCAAGACTTGAGTGTGAATAAGCTGCAGAAATAGTTGAAAAAATAATCAAAATTTCTGCAGCAACCACAAAAATGCAGTTGCCAATATGGCCACTCAGTTACCAGCTTTCAATTGTCATCTTAATACCATCCCAGGCATCGAACACGCAACTGAAGCTCAGTTGCCATCCGTAATCGACGCATACTAGGGACTAGTTGCACGATGAAGAGAAATATTCTTCTTTGTAAAAAGTCTCATTTGTAAAGAATATGTACGTCGTGAAAGCTATCAGCACCTTTCAGATACTTTTAACTCGAGATTGAAGGAAGAAGTGTTCTTTGTACATAACCTTATTTTTGTAATCGCAGATCTCATCTCTACGTGATGGAAAGTGAGTTTAGCGACTGCCTTATGTTTAACATAAATATAGAATAACACATACATTCTGGTTCGTTAGCCAGAGAAAAATTCATAGATGCGTGCTGGATATGGCTATCCTACAGACTAAATGCTAAAGTAAAAAATTTCCTGTTGGGTGTAGTCTTAAATGCCTACATAGTATATACATATGTGCATTAGATACATTTGTATGTGTTTTTGTGCACATTGAGTAAAAACACTCCTGCTTTATTGCAAATTAAACATTTTTTTTTTATTTTCATTAATGCCTTAGTCTAAAAGTTTCATGTTTCACAGTTGCAGATTAACAAAAATTAATAATAATTTAAGCATGCAAATTATATGATTAACTCATATTTACGGTGAAATTTCGTAGGGCTATTAAGAAGAAGAAATAAGTTTATTCGCAATGGTGGGGGAAAAAATTCAATAGAAAAAATTTGTTTTTTTATTTTTTTTTTATTTTGGTGTTCGTGATAATTCAGGAACACATCCGCATTTCTGTAGGTGGTTATTTTAAATTGCGCTGCATCAGCACTTACTTAAACGGAGATACACAGAGATGGTTGTGGTGTAAGACCGAAATCAAAAACAATCTTTAGGAAATTTGTGCGAAATATCGGTACTTCAAGATGGATCCATTGTTTATATACATATGTACATATGCAAATGCTATTTCTCACATTTTTGCAATTACATAAAAGATATTCTTGCTGTAAGATGAACATGACCTCAGATATGGGTTGTTTGTTTAGTTTCTGGTAACTGCCATGCTCCACTTGAGGTATTGCACTGTACATACTTAATAATAATAATGGATTGGCGCTTACACATATGTTAGTGTTTGGCCGAGCTTCTCCTCCGATTTTTGGCGTGCGCCTTGATGATGAGGGACCTACAGTTTACGCCCACTACGAACGGCGATTGTATGTTTACGAGAAGCTATTTGGTCATGGCAGAAATACACTCGGAAGTTTGCCATTGCCTGCCGAGGGGTGACCGCTGTTAAGAAAAAACCTTTTTTCTATATTTTTTTTGCGATGTTGCTTTGACCAGGGCTTGAATCCAGACCCTGCGGAGTGGAAGCGCGCACTGCTTACTACTACATCAGAGATGGCCAAAGTGGCTCCCAGGAGCCTTTTGCACTTAGGAGCCGGCTTGGCAAATTTAGGTGCTAGATGAGGGGTAACATCAAGAGCCAGCGTGAAGGGGAAGAAGACCGTATTAAAATTTCTTGTACTCCGACCCTTTTTAATAACACATGTGTATGATGTTTTTAATGTATTTTTGCATGGCACTTGCTGGCTCTTTGACTGCCAAAAATCTTCCCATCCCTGCACTACGACACAGCGGCCACCGGGAACTGTACTTGATTTGTCATAATTTCTTCCCATTTAGTAGATCAAAGCAATTCTGCATTTGGTCTGTGCCATTTAAGGACTTGCAGGTTTGCAGTATGTACATATATACTTGCATATTTCCGTTTGGATCAATACGAGTGACAAATTTGATTCAATCAACTCTCCTCAATCATCTTGTTTCAGTTTGTTGAAGCCGCCGGTATTTCTTCTAGCTGTATGTATACCATCTTTTGGCAACGACCTTTTCTTATTTGTTTAAGGTAATATTTATTTCTAAACCCCCTGGTTTAATTGTGCCCGTCTCTGGCCCAGTTTCCGCTGTGTTGTGGTTGGTACTTCTGGCGGTTTTTAAAGTCGGTGGGTTTATTTTAAGTGCCACCGAAAAAGGCATTTCTGCTGCTTGTGGTTTGGGTTCCTACCTAGCACCTCTGACGTATTCATAGTTATACAGGCATGTTCTGCAAATCGTTTGATTTTAAATCGATGCGATTTATATTTATATCTACTATTTTTATATTTTTGTAATGAAAGTATTAAATCTTTCAAATCGAAACTGCTAGAAACACATCATTTACGTTAAATCCATCGGTTTAGTGCCAAATTTTTTCCCATTTTATTTTAAAACCTCCAGAACAGATTTTGTATATCGTACGATTTGCAGAACATGCCTGATAAGTTTTGTTTCATTTATTTATATTTATTAGATTTGTTACTTTTGAGTTTTCTGCATTTTCTTGTTTTTTTTTGTATATTCGCGTTTTGCATTTTTTTAGTTGTATTTATTTGAATTTATTTTTGATTTTTGTGTTTATTTGTTTTTTATGTTAATTTGTTTTTTATGTTTATTTTTTTTTCATATTTATTTCTTTTTTTTTTATGTTTACTTATTTGTATTCTCATTTGTTTATTTTTTGTGTATTCCTTTGTTTTTAGTGTTTTTTTGTGCGTTCATTTGTTTTTTTGAGTTTATTTATTTTTTGTGTTTATTTGTTTTTGTATTTATTTGCTTATTTTTCTTTTTGGATTTATTTGTTTTTTTTTTATTTATTTGTGTTATTGTTTTTTTGTTTGTTTGATTTTTATGTTTATTTGTTTTTTTTTTGGGGTTTATTGTTTATTTGTTCCTTGGTGCATTTTTGTGCTTTATTTTTATTTATTTTTTGTTAATTTGTTATTTTGTTTCCTGGGGTTTTTTATTTTTTTGTGTTACTTTTTTTGTGTTTAAACACCCTTTTTTGTGTATTAATTTTTTGGACTGGAATTTCATATTTTTTTTTTGATTTCGTTTTTTGTTGCGTTTTTGTCACATTTATCTTATTTTCTCTATTTTTTCTCTTGTGGTTTACTTGTTTTTGAGTTTATTGTTTTTTGTATTGTTTTTATTTTTTTTTTGTATTAATATGTTGTTTTTTTGTATTAATTTGTTTTTTTTATTAATTTTTTATTTTTTTTCTGTTTATTTATTTTTTTTTGTGTTTATTTGTTGTTTTCTTATGTTAATTTTTTATTGTTTATTTATGGCTATTTTTTATTCTTTGGGTTTATTTTTTTTGTGCTTATTTGTGTCGTCACATGTATGAAATTGTGTCCCATAAATAACGGGAATGTTTGCTCGTCGAATAAACCGATAATATACAGAAAAAAATGATTTTTGTTAAACCACTATCTGGACCACTCTCTAGATGTATCTTGGCCTGGAAGTCCACATGAAAGCCAAATATAAAAAAGTACGGTATTCATCCCATTAATGCAGTTCTACTTAGATATGGAATAAGCTACTTTTATTTCAAAATTTATCACTTTTGAAATTATTATAAATTTAAAATAAATAAATATAAATTGTGGGTTATGCCACTTCTGCCATCACGGCTCCATTTGTTTGAATGATTGTAACAAATGTAATTCAAACTCAGCATTTGAAGACACGTTTACAAAATCGACTTTAGTTGAGTGTGCGGATATGCTTGCTATTATTTGTTGGCTCTCAGAAAGTCCCAGGTTTGTTAGTTTTATATTTCGAAACTATGAAAAAGTACGCATGAACGAACGAAAGGGTATTCAAACGAAATATATCGCATATTTTGGGCTTAGTTTTCCCAGTGTAAAAATTGTGTTGAGTGAGATCTACGACCGATACTAGGTCGCTTCGCAAATTCATTTTCACTTTTACACAGTGCCATTTTTCATACGATTCAGCGCTTGAGTTTTTTCTAATACTAAAAGCAGTTTTATCTAAATAAATTGAATGAAAATTAAATTTCGGAATGGATAAAAAATATGTTTGTTTATTCATAATTGTACAAA